GGTCAAAGACCTGTCTACAGCCGTTGTGCTCTGATTGCTGCTCTCATTGTCAACTCTTCGCTTTGGGAACGCAATCAAAACACGCGATTCATTCAAGTGTTTGTACAAGCTTCAAATTTTGGTCTGTCTAATTTTAGGGTGTTTCGAGAGTCTTTTCAAAAAGATAGGTAATAAAAAATGCATAAACGACATTATAATATATTGCTTTTCTATCTTACTAGTCAGAAACCAGTTGCAATGGAGACGTGTCACTTGACAAGTAGTTAATAGAGTGTGCACCGCGGAAACACATTGGATTTCCTATACAACGTCAATCCCGCCGCCTCTATGCGGTTTGTAGAGCAACGTATTAAATGAGTTTCAAACAGATTCTGGTTTCATAACAATCTTCAGATTTTCACCGACGTCGGGTTAGTTTGTTCTTCGACGTTTTTTAACTTTTAAATTGATTGTCAATTGTTTAGGATACAGCAAAGATAGTTTCTATAGAAATTAACTTAGCTAGTAATTTAAACAAGTACCGAGAAAGTATCTGAACATCGAAAATTTAGTCGATTAGATTGGCAAATATAGACAACGGTAAATTAGTATGTCTACTCGGTACTCCACTAAATTACAAGTTTAGATGGATGGATGCTTGTTAGATATAGCCTAAACTGCTGAAAGGGTCTCGATGAAATTTGGTAATATGTAGAGAACAGTCTGAAAGAGTACATAGGCTACTTACAGCTACTTACAGCGTGGAAATTAAAGTATAGTATGGGCATATACTTAGTATAGTATATTAAGTATATGCCCATACGGGCACCAGCTACATAAAACATGTGGTCATATATATCCTAAAATTCTAAAAACTCTTTACTCAATGGCTTTTCTAGTTTGTTGAAGTAAGTGTCAGTCAGGTTTTTGTAGGAGTCTTGTTTTAAGCAGTAGCCGTAGTGAAGCGCTGCGAGGCGAGGTCGCGACCCAGAATGTACTAAATAGGACTTACCACTTACACCGAAGTGTCACAAACTCTTCAGGCAATTTTTAATAGCTTATTGTTTGTATTTAGACCGAGTTGTAAAAATGTTGCATTTTACATTCCCAGTAACAAGAAATGAAATCCTAAAATCAAAAATGTTTCGAAGAAATCCTACTTCATTGCTCAGTGTTCTACTCGTAAGTTGTTTTATGAGTAAATCAAGTTATCTTTTATAGGACTTAGAGCAGGCGCACACCTTTGACTAAACTATCGCACAACTGTTGTCGATTGTTTCGCAGCCCATTTAACTGTTTAGTTGCACAACTGAATATATGTAGATCTAGTGTGCGCACCTCCGTTTATACGCATAGCTTATGCTCATAGGAATCAAAGCGGGACTAGACAGTTGTGCGATAGTTTCTTCAAAGGTGTGCTCACGTACTTACATTCAAAATCGTAATTTAAAAACATTTGAGTATCGAAAACAGATCCATTTGTTTATCGATCAAAGGAAATTTTAAAAATGGAACATTTAAGTATATTGTGTAGTGGCAAATCGAAATGCCATTAGCCGTTCCCAGCCATACAGCCACTTCCGGCCATTGAGGGCGAGAGGCTCATGGGAGGGCATTCAGGGCGCAATGTGTGCCTCTTGAGGTATCGAGAGATGCGGGTTCGGGCTATAGTACACTGCAAGCGATGATATTTTAATATACATACTATAAAAAGCCCTTTTACTACATTTTAGGGTCTTCAAGTGAAGTTCTAAGCATAAAATTACCATTCAACACTGTATTTTTAATATTAACACAAAAATAATCTTGCACAGATTGTTTAAAAATAATTATTACTGTTAAAAATAAGACTTTCTTTAGAATAGAGCTGAAGAAGGACAGAGAGATAATATATTTTCTCCTAAAATCCTTGTTAACCCTAACATAACGATGTAATCGTGACCAATGTAATCGTTGTTGTGTACCCTTAGCATTTTCAGAAAAAAAAATATTTTTATAGCATTTTAAGTTAGCTTTTATCGCTTGTACTGTGCGTCAAGCTTTAGTGATCACCAGTGGCTTTTAGCTGAGAAAACAGCGGGTGAAGGGTTCTAAGAAACGGTACAGTATAGCCTCTACCGATTTCTGTGTCGATGTCGAACCCGGGACAATGTCAGGGGTGTGAAGAGCGCACTATACCCCTAATGCGTATCCGACACTTACTCCGTTTGTTGCACCCCTAATACGGATGTAATAAAAGGGCTAGTGTTTCTCTATTTTTAAAAAGTGTCAAAATCAAGCCTCGTTTCAACATAGTATATACTAGCTGTTCCCGTGCGACTTCATCCGCATAACATTATGAAAATTTTCAAATGTCAAATTATCCATTGCAAATGTCAAAATGACATGACGATGACAAACCATGACAACCTTGCTTCCTTGATGTTGGCAGCAACTTATGGTCTCTTTCCCACATTAGGGTTTTTACCCAAAATATTTACCCCTAAGTTTAATGGTGTAAAAATATGTTGCCTAAAGCGTGACACAAGTGTAAGGTTTTTTATTAAAAAAAGTATTATTCGAAAATATACTGTAATTGCTGACATCTTAGGCAACAAAGAAGTGTATGTTTACGCTTTATTATAATAGTACAGATATTTGATTTAATTTTGAAATAAAATTACGGGATAAGTTCTAACAACGTTTAAGAAAAAACATTTACATTCATTTATTTCTATATTTGTTAAGAATTAACATCTGGTAATTGTTTATACGACATTAAATGTATATCAGAAGTATACTCAAGTCTTAGAAGTCAATATAAAATGCACACTGCGGGCACTCGCCAGCTGTAGAGAGCTTTCTCATGTACCAGCCGTAACATAACATCACCATAACAATTCAGTACTTATGTTATGTGGCTTATAATGTGATAATTAGTTATGATAAAAGCTACTTTAGCTAGGTTAGATGAACTTTACTTTGTACTTGTCATAGGTGTCTCCACACCAACATCTACCCCACCTGGTGACGCCCATGTCTCTCAACAATACAACGGCGAAAGTGTTTTTAAAGATTTATTAAAAAAGTAAAGTATATTTCAATTATTAACACAATCACAATTAGATTATGTATGTATTTCATGAAATTACGTTAATAAATTTTAATATAATAGTATAGTTTATTTAGTTCTACACCCACTGACAACTCAGTATCTTATCTCTAAATTCTAGAAACTTTATGATGTAATATCATGGTCCACTTACCAAGGTATACGGAGGACATCTTCTTGGAGACATTCTCGTCGATGTATGTGACGCCGAGAGTGAAGAGTGGCGTGGCTCCAGCGCCGTGTAACAGCTGTGCGGCCACGAACACTGCTACCGCCCACGCGCCGCCTTCACCGCCCCAGGACTTCTCACACCTGCTCACTGACTGTATAAAAAATTATAAAAGCATTAAAATAATTCTAGCTTCTTATTTAAGAGAAGACAAACGAGCAGTGGGGTCACCCAATTCAACGATGTCTATGAACATTCCCAATAACAGAAGAACTATAATTGATAGCCTTTCAATAAATGGTGCGAGCGCTTCTTGAAGGACACTATGTGGTACTGATTTGGAAATATCGTTGAGAAAAGACCAATAACATAACTGTGCGAGACAGAAAGTTTCGCATAGTTGAATTACAGCCATCGAGATGGTGGTGATAGTATCCGGATACCATAATTAAACTAATAAAAATAGGACATGATCGTACCAGTATGCTTTCAGTTACTTGAGAAAGCGTAATTTAGGCTTTAATTAGGTAATTACGCCCTAGAAAAAGGTATCTACCAAAATTAAGATTCAGAACAAGAGATCCCTTATCTTACATGATAAACACTACGCAAAGAAACATCGTTAATATTCAATAACATCCATCCTTGATGACATTCTACGGAGCCTTTTGCCTATACAATTACACGACAAATTAAAATTCATCACAAAAGACAAGGACCTCCTTCGTTTTCGGCGACGTATTTGAACCGGTTTCTTACAATACCAGCTTAGAGCCCTCGTGAATTATCAAGGCAGCTATTCTGATGGCATGATTTTTTACAAGCCGTATGACGGATAGAATCTGTGGAATGCGCGCGAAACGGCTTTTATGCAACTGGATTTCTATATTGAGTAGGGGACAGCCTTGAACGATCACCGTTCATTTTTTGTTTATTTTTTGTTTTTAAAAATTTAAAGCGATCAAAAGCTGATCTGTCTTTGAGAACTCAGTGATCTTATATGGTCGAGGATTAAAAAACTAAAAAAATAAAATCATAATTGTTTCTATCATAGTATATGATTGTAATGGGCAATTAAATTTAAAATAGAAACTCACAACGGTCTTATTCAGTGTACAGAGGTCCTCAGGCTCATCCCCCGCGACCCTGTAGGGGGGCACGAGGAAGTGGGGAAGTGCAAAGAGCAAGGAGCCGGCACCCATCAGCAGCACGCCCCAGCCAAGCCAACGCGGCTTGCTACTTCCAGCTCGTCCGCCCAGGTACGTCACCGGCGCTAAGCAAGCGAACGACGCCATGTCGTATCTGGTGACAATGAGAACATATATGAGGCAAACAAGGTAGACTCTGAAAGAAATAAACAAGATAGAATAAGACACATTTAAGTCAAATACACGTGGAATAGTAATCATTTATCATGCCAGCTTTCCTAATAGGATTACTTAAATTAAACTGCAGTTGGTTAAGCATACCGTTTAGTGCATTAGCTCGCAGCTAAGAATTCTTGTTAAACGACTATTAATAAATTATGAGTAGACTTACCCGCCAGCGATGACGCCAGTCTGCATAGAGCGGAGACCGAAGCGCTTCTCTATCGTGGTGATCACCACATTCACGAAACCGTTAACCACCATACCTGGTAACAATGATGATCATTACAATAGAATACAAATTGTAGCTAATGATGTTTGTTTTTGTAGAAATATTTTATACTAGCTTTTGCCCGTGACTCCGTCCGCGTGGAATGAAAAAAAAATGAGTAGCCTACGTGTTCTTCCAGGCTTTCCTCTACGTCTGTGCCAAATTTCATCGAGATCTGTTTAGCCGTTTAGGCTACAAACTCTAACAAACATCTATCTATACATCCATCCATCTATCCATCCATCCACCTAAACTTTCGCATTTATAATATTAGTAAGATTGAAACGACGCATTGTTGTTTTTTTATTTCGATTTTCTATTGTTTTTTTTTAAGTTTTTTTAATGTATAATAAACACGGACAAATTAAGTTCTGCTTATAGTAGCTATTATTAATGCCTCGAACTTTTTCTATTTTATTCTTTTTTTTAAATTTAAACCAGCCTAGTAATTTTTAGCTACCAAATTCCTCGGTACTCTACTAAATTTCTAGGATACTGGGAACTGGGGATAAAACCATGGTCACAGTAGTACTTAAAATAACGCGCATTAGTAAATACTGCAGTAATTTCACATGGTACAAAGACCAGCTCGGAGGCCCATATGAGGGGATGCGAACGGAAATAACTCTTTGATATTAAATTTTCACGTGAATGGACAGACAGACAGATCGTTTCACTCGAAATAGACGACATTTTTCCATTCAATGATCATGTGAAATCTGTGCTAATTATAAATTTCTTTTAGTTAACAATTTCTATATTTACTTTCAAAAATACTCCGGTGATTTTTTGGTTATAAATTAACGACGCCACTACGCTTCAAATCTCATTCAAACAAAGCGTCAAAGTTATATTAAAGAGAAACTGTAAAATATCAAACTTTGAAGATCAAGAATAGATGAGTGCATATCACATATGAAAAATGTTAGGACTGCACGTAAAAGTTCTGGAACTTACGCTAAGGCTGGTTGGAAAGCAATAAAAGGGTTAGAACTAGGCAAACAATACAATGAACCAACTGTACTCTGAACTAAAATAGAAAGAAAACTCATCCTTCCATCTGGAATTAATCTCATAAGTTTAACAGAACTAATATCCATAGCCGTGACAAGTCTATATTAATATTATAAAGAGGAAAGATTTGTATTTTTAGTTTTTTGTATGTATTGAAATAACTCAAAAAGTACTTGGCCGATTTCATAAAATCTTTCACCATTAGAAAGCTACCTTATCGCTATTTTTCACGTGGACGAAGCCGTGGGCAACAGCTAATGTACTGTAAATTTATTTTCATTCATTCACTTTGAAAAAGACAAGGGAAGCATAAAGTTTTCGTACATTATTGGTCTACTAAACTAACCTATGAAAGGTTATTCAATTGTTAATGTTGCGTAAAATTTTTGTCAACAAATTAAATCTAATAAAAAAAAATCTGAACAATAGTAATCAAAAAATCATTTTTATTCCAAAGTAGATTACTATCAGACGGTCAAACAAGGTCAGTTATTGAATAGCGTCATTACTCGGCTACACTTATTTGTAAGTTTTATAAATATAACGATTATTGGATTATTGGAATATTTTTAATAGAGATTTGTAAATAAAATTAATTAAATTCACCTTTAAGATTGATATAAAAAATACTCAAACAGTTTCTTCAATAAAAAACCAACTCTTAGTGAAAATGGTGGAAAAAGTACCAGGGTATCATAAGCTACACGGGTTCATGTTTTGAGGTTATGTTGAAATTGTAAACACGCAACACTTCTATTATATTTCATTAGAACTAAAACAGGCGATCAATCATTCTAACATCTGATACGTAGTAAAATCATCCATCCATCCAAACTTTTAGATTAGTAATGCTATGACTAGTATGATCAGTTCCAACCAAGGTCATAGTAATTGAAGTATGAAAACATTACATATAGGTACATTACAATATTAGTGTGCTTGTCTGTTTGTAGATTTAATTATGCCATTTGTATTCATGACCTAGCAATTATAAATCATAACATCTTTGTTAATTTTCTTTTGTTTTACTCTACAATAAACAGACTTACATAGTTTGTTGCTATGAGCTTGTATGGAGGGCACACTACTCGATTTTTAGTTGTACAACTAAACAGTTGGGTGGGAAACAATCGACAATCGCACAACTGTTGTGCGATAGTTTAGTGATAGGTTTGAGCTCACTCTATTTGTTTTTGATGGATTTCACAAGCTTACTAATTATACTAATATTATAAATGCAAAAATTTAGATGGATATTTTTTAAAAGTTGGTAGCCGTAGCTGAACGGATTTCTATGAAATTTGGTACAGATGTTTAGGATAATCAGAAAGAACACATAGGTTACTAATTTTTTTTCCATGCGGACGGAGTTGCGGGCGAAAGCTAGTTATAAGTAAAAGCGAAGTTACATCGAAGACTTTTAAATTATGGAATAATTTATTGGCTTTGAGTAACTTAAAGAAAAACATTCTCTTGTTTTCCATGATTGGCAATTTTATTAATTTGGTTGGTATACTCTTTGTGTGGAGTATTAAGGGCCCATTGTATCTATTACGCGAGGCTGCACAAAGCATCAGCAATGATTTGACAGAAATTGCTAAGTGCCACCAATTAATCATTTCAGCAGATAATACGAGCTAATGGCGGCTTTAATCCCGAATTTCACAGATTCTTTTGAGAAATTTGTGAAGCTCCCCAACTTTCATAACAATTCTGGAGACTTTTATTAATTCTGTACAAAAGACTGGCAGTTTATAATTTTTAAAAACGAAAATTGGGATTATACTAATATTATAAAGGCGAACGTTTTAATGGAGGTTTGTTGGAACATAAAACGTAAAAGATCTATAGATGTTATCACAGATGCAGAACATAGTCTGTAAGAACCCATAGACTAATGACCAAGTTTTTTTATTTCCACGGAGACGAAGTTGCGGGCAACATCTAGTCGTAACTAAAATGCAAAAATACAAATAGTTTAAACACACGGTCTTGTTTTGTATAAATATTTATCTATAAATACATTCCGTGAGTGAATATAATTTGGCGCCTAAAAGGATCGTGTGTCGTAAGCCGCCATTTTGTTTGGAAATGCGCGAGAGTTATTCCGCGTCACGTCCCAAACATATTCAATAGGGTGCTGATACAATTTGCAAATGGTTATAAAACAAAGGTTATTTAATGTAATATAATGGTAATTTTTTATCAAAACCCTGCAACTTCCTTGATTTATGAACCTGGTTTTATGCAAATAAATTTGCATTACGTATTTAAAATTGTGATTAATGTTTTGACGTAAACCGCATTAAGTTGATTAGTAGGAAGATTTATCATAATAGAGCATACATTGTTAGCGAAATAAACGTTAAAATGCAATTATCGTGTACATCCGAGTGGTCCCCGCATACCGGCCAGTCGGGAGGGATTACACGGCTTTACCGCGGCCAGTACGAAAGCGCATTTCGCTATTGAATTTTGAGGCCGGGATATGACGGGAATCGGAGCTAAGCCTCGACATTCCACTTCCCGAGCTCGTATTATGACCGAGTGCTTTGTTTTTCATGTTTCACTGTGTAAGTACTCAGCTTATAAGATACCAATGCGAGGCTTTTAGTACTTTTGTATTGAAGTGAAAAATAAATTAATTCGTTTTATGCTATTAGTAAGAATATCAGTCTCGTTATACGAGAAAGTCCTACAATATATTGTTATTCTTGAGTTATTAAACAATATAGATAAGTTCTATAACATAAAATATAAAGCTATTTTTAAAATTATTGACAACTATCTTTCGCCAACGACTCTGTCCGCGTGAAATTTAAAAAAAAAATGTAAGCATTCCATACCTTCTTCCAGACTATCTACTACATCTATTCCAAATTTCATCGAGATTCGTTTAGAAGTTTAGGTTAAAAACTCTAACAAACATCCATATATCCTTTAAAATATTAGTACTCTTAAGATTTAGATAAATACATTACTTAAAATATATCATTTGGAAAAGTTACCGAGTAGTAATAGATCTTGTTTTAATCCATACTAATGTTTGGAATTATCCGGATATCGTAGTCCGGTGAGGATCCGGACAGTCGCAGATGTACCCTACTATTAATAATTCTGAGATTTTCCTCTATATCCAACCAATTATTAACCTAAAAATGTCAACTAAACAGATGTTCATACATCTTCATTTCATTCATTCATAAATTCCTTCATCTTCGTTCATAAAATGAAACAATAGAATCATCACATCTGATAGCATGCCGCTAGTTTTCTTATTAAAAAAGTTAAATTAACTCATTTAAGCTAACGGTGACTTACTTGCAAGTTAACACACTTAAAAATTCAGTTGTTAATCAAAACTTTGTGTTACAGTCTTATCTAAGGTGTGTTGTTATTTATGATGGAATTTAATTAAAAAGTTTTCTATCCCTTGATTAAAGTAACATAAATTGAGCTAGCTTTGAGACTGCATCTGGGAGACACTTTTATATAGAAAACTTAATTAAAAACAGCAATATTAATATAGGAAATAAAGCCATCTTTCAGTAGAATTAAAAAAAAACAGTAAATTTAAATTCGTGGGCTAATAAACGTTTGAATAACTTAAAATAACTTAAGCACATGAAGCTCAATTAAGACATAAACTAAGTAGACTCGTGTCAAGTTAATTGCGAGGGATACGAGTCGAAGGCTTCGCTGCAAATTACCGGGAGTGCCAATCAGGTGCTTGAGACATGCCACACGTGCGCCCCGCGTCGTGGCTGCGCGGCCGTGTGGATAAGCTTTAATCAAGGATCTTAAACTGTTGCGTCAATACATACGACTTTTATTTTTGCCTACTATACAATCCTAATCGTTTACTCCTTAGTTCTACCACTGGGGTTACTCTTAAACTACTCATTCCGAGTAAATCAAACAGATTTATGTATGCCAAATGTGATTGTTATACACTCTTTGACACAAAGTTAATATATGAGCATAAATATACCTGTATTGTTGCATATATGGTACAAATAGCAGGCAAGGTATTTGCTGTGAGCGGAAAACTTCACAATATTTAATCACTTCCCTCGTTCCTGCATAAGTATTTGTTATTAACGTCAGCAATTTCCTGCACAATTTTGCACAACCTCTAAACACAAGAATTTTAACACACGTTAATCGCTTACAGTAATGATATGAAAAACAATAGCCTTTTTAACACGTTCACTGCGTATCAGGATGTATCTGCCTGATGCGGTACTTAAGCTGGTGCGAACGAAGAAAAGTATGTCCCTCTCTCTACTAACGATTATCTCAGGTATATATCTCGGGTATACACATTACATTACATAAAATGTATACTGTAATGCAGGGGTGTTAATGAAACGGCGGTTGGTACTGGACTGATTTATTGATCGTCAACTGACGGTACATAATATTCGATTGCCCACATATGTATATACTACACTACGTTAAGTTTCCATAAAGTGCTGGTGGGTCTAGAAAGATCTGCCACGCACCGGCGGAAATATCATTGGGGGGCGTATTTTGATTGATTGTATTTGATTTTGCCTAAGTAAACGTGTTAAAAAGCCAAGTTTATCGACTATGTAATCATACTAATATTATAATTGCGAAAGTTTAGATGGATGGATGGATGGTTGTTTGTTAGAGTTTGTAGCCTAAACGTCTGAACGGATTTCAATGCAATTTGGTATAGATGTAGAGGATAGTCTGGAAGAACACATAGGCTACTTAGTTTAGTTTTTTTTTTTAATTCCACGCGGACAGAGTCGCGGGCAAAAGCTAGTAAAATATATACTTAAGTATAAAAAGTAACTATATTTTTAACTAACATGTTTTTCAAGAGTTTTTCCCAGCCGACGGCTGGGGCACTCGGGTCGCCTCGGCCGCACAACAGGTGTCTTTATCCGAAGCTATTTAAGTTTGGACACTTTTATAGCCTTCGGATTTAAGAGATAAGTGCTTATCATTTCCAGAGGTTCATTTAACTTTACGCAAACTTTTTTTATTACAATACTCGCTCCTGATACACCGAGTTTGTTTGTATACAAAGTTCTTAGTAATTACTAAAAGAAAAAAAATGTCTCTATTTATAAATGTGGCTATGAAAAGTAATTAAAGGAAGTATCAAGACTTCAGCTACAGGTTTCATGTAATAGCGACATCTATTGGCGGCTGCTTTGCGCCGGAAGTGGGCGCCATGTTTGATCGCATACATCCGGTGTCGTATACCCCTTGTTTCGATATTAATTGGCTTGTCTGAGATAATCGTGACACACAATTTAACTTGTAACATTTATCAATTCATGTTTTGTAATGATATTTTAGTTAATAAACAGATAGAGGGGGTTTAAAATAATTTATAGAAGACATTGTTTTACAAGTTGTTATAAAAATAGATATTTTACGATCTCAAATAGGTGTAAAGGCGATATCGTTAAACAGAGACGTGTGCTCCGTGCCGACGTCATGAGGCGGTAAAGTAATGAATGTAAATACGCCTCTACTCCCTGCTCTAAACATTAAGGTACTTACACACTGCCCATCTTACCCTTACTAATAAAACACTAGGTGATCGACACGTTACTTCGCTCATTTGGTAATGTTAATGGTAAAAACGTTCTATTTAAAAGTAAAACAAAATAATGTAATGACAAAAGGTTACTTATATTTCATTTTTGCAAATCAAACACGATTTTTTCATTTAATTACATGAGTGTTGCTACGGCAGTGCAGAAGGAGCAGACGTCCTTCCTTGAGACACCAATGGAAAACTACTATGAATAAATCTGACCTAGCCTAGATCACCGACTAGCCTCAACGATGCTTCTTTACATACATATCCATGGTATAAACATTTTTTAAAATACTATAGTGTGTATGTACCTTTACAATGTTAATACTGGTATACCACAGTCGGGCTTTAATTTTATAAACCCATGATTTGTTGGGCGGGAGTTGGGCGGGTGTAAAGGGAATTAAATTTTCGCCATTATTGCTGTGTGCAGGATGATTTGTCGCCTTTTATTGTGTTAAATCACTTTGCGATGTGTTGAGCCGTGAACTTATTTACGACTTGCCGTTACTGTGGTTTATTACTGTCTTGGTTTATATTGTCCTGGTACATAGAATGTGAGGTGATTCTACCTTTTATACAATTAAAGTAAAACACTACTCGTATTTTACTGTTAGCATTTAATTTAAAAATAAGCGCAAATAAAACAAAAACGCAAGTGTTTATTGGTAAATTGTAATTATTAGAGTATTTAATCTTCATAGCTAATTGCTCAAAGCAAACATGCAGGCAAAGTTTATGTAAAACTAAACGTTGGGATGTTGGGCCACGGAACGTGTTGGAGATATCATTAATTGTTCCGGCGGGGTTGGGCCAGCAAGCCAGCGGATCTCATTAGTATTTCGCTCGGCGCTGGTGGCTGGCTGCGAGAACAATGCAGCACTCTCTCACACCTGTTCGCACGCCTTCATATAACCTCTGTTGGAAACTTGCGACAGATTTATGATGCGAATAACTTCTGACCACAGAGTTAAAATTAATAGAGGTGACTTAAATTAAAAGAATATATAATTAAATAGTTAGAGGAAAGTGTTGAACTCTGCTTGTTAAAATAAAAGTAATGTTTTAAAAACTCATTTCTGTTTTTTTTTTTAAACCAGCTTCAAAGTCATCAAATACATGTACAGTACAAAGTAAACGTAAATAAGTACCTAACCAATCTGCTTTGCTAAGATCAGAGCGTATTTGAATCTCGCAATCAAGCTCTTAGCGTCACTTGCAAAGTCGTTAGCTAATTTGATACGCAAGGAAATTAGTTGAACAAACATCACGATTGCCTCATGTTCTTGCAAATGTCCTTTATTTTATCTAACTTTACTATTTAATCTTTATTTAATGTTAGTTTAAGGTAACCTACGTTTATTTATTTTATCGTTGTAAGCCTCTTTATATGGCTAAGTCAAATATTCTTTTGTACCTCTGATATTATATCTTTAAACAGTTTGGAGTCAATATGGTTTTTACCAGTACGGTGTACTAAATACAGTGTATTCGAGGATTGTATTTACTCGAAAATGTCGTTTCCATTTGTCGTTGATCAGTGGTAGCGCTGAGACAGCTAATAGGTTTGGACCATTTGGCGCGAGGTGGCGCCCCGCTCGTTACCAACTAAAACATTGCGCTCTCTTCTATATGCTTTGCTTGTTTATTTTATATTAAATTGGACTAAAATATTTACATTTTAATTATTTTCATATATTTATTCGTTTAAACTCTAGAATATCACATTGTCAGTAACCTTTTTGCCCACAAAAACTAAAAAGCAAACTTTAAAATAATCTAGTATTTAATTTCCCTAAGGATTAATAACACTAAATAACGTCAAATTTACTATTAGTTTGAAATTGTAATTGCCTTAAACGATATCAAAACTATTTGAAACGTTTATCAAACCGGGTAAGATCTCCCAATAACCGGGTTTGTCGGGTTAACCGGGCCGGTTATCGCGATACTTATAATTTCCCCGGGGAGCCGCTACTGGGCACACCTGCACCTTACCGACGATCTATGTAAACTTTAAGAGGATATCCGGAACTACTCTACCTATTTATCGGGAAGATATTAACGTATCCATGAGTTTAATTATGAAGTCCATATAAATTGTGTCCAACTATCGAAATAAATCCTTCTCATATTTCACGGGACTATGTTGGCGTGAAAAAATCGCAGCCTCCATTTATTCGTGAGATCTGGTCGTTTGTTAGCAGCTTATCCGACGCCTGGGCTTATCAATATTGTGATTGTGAACGATCGAATAATTATTTTTACACACATTTACATCATGTTAAATCTTACTTCTTACTAATATTATAAATATGAAAGTTTAGATGGATGGATGGATTGGATGTTTGTTAGAATTTATAGCCTAAACGGCTTAACGGACCTTGATGAAATTTCGCATAGATGTAGAGGATAGTCAGGAAGAACACATAGTCTACTTACTTTTTTTTTAATTCTACGCAGACGGAGTCGCGGGCGAAAGCTAGTAATATTATAAATACGAAACTTCAGATGAGTAGATGTTTGTTAATACTTACTACGTATGTTTCGACTGACTCTACAGATGTGATGTTTGGAACGGACATTGAACATAGTCTGAACTTATTAAGTTGTTTTTAATTCTGCGCGGACAGAGTTACGGACGGCGGCTAGTTGTAAATATTATAAAACATAAATACGCCTTAATAAATGTTAAATATTTAAAACTATTATCACGTTTACATTGCAATATAATACAGACTTTCTTTTCTTCATGTAACAAAACATTTAACAGTAAAGATGCGTAAATAATACTGATAAAAGGAGGTTTTATCGCAAGACGTACCTCAAGGTCGCAGTAAACCTCCGCGTAGCATACTCGCAACGTGAGTTACATTTTAATCGAATGCTGTGCGTATTGCACACGTAACTAATATTATTCGTCACACATTTAACTCACGGTTTTTTATAAAACAAAAAGCCACAAAATATTTTTTAAACCGATATTTACAAACGAAGATACGGACATAAGCTAGATAGTGAACTCACCCTGTATAGCACCTGCCCAGCAAAGCCAGAACAGCGCCCATTTGGCGGTGCGGAACCGCTGCAACCAGGTCGGTCGCACCGCGCCCCAGCCGCACCGCGCCTCGCCCACGCCGCCATTACTCTCGGAGTCAGCCTCGCCTTCAGACTACGAGAGAAAATTATTATAAAATTAATTAGATCTGTAAGAAAGTATAATAAAAAACTACAATGTGCTGAACACGTTTATATTTCCCCTAAAAACAATAGTGTTGCTTACACTAATATTTTTAGGATTTACCCCAATGTCGGCAAATACTCGTAGTTTAGTAGCGGGCTTCTTGTAGTATTCAATAACATTTGTTAAAAATATCTGATCTTTGAAATATGTTAACCATTAAAATTGAATATTTCAATGTAGAGCAATCAGATAACTGAACTATTGGCGGATATCCTATCAAACATCGATCTATCTCGGTCTAGCTGATATTTAGGTCTCAATAGCAAACTACAGGCTGAATTGTCCGCATATCTTTCGTTGATTGCATTCTAACGTATTGCTACATTGCCGAGTTTATCTTTTAATATTTTATTTTGTGAAAAAAACACTTTATTACATTGAAACCTTTAGAAATCAAACAAATTGCCGAACGATTACGCGATATTTCTCTTGTACGTAATGTACATTAAAATGGCTCATTTTGTATATAATTCGAATGGAAATACCCTAACAGAATTGTTACTTGTAATAACATAATAGGATCGTAAAATTGTTTCGAACATAATCGGGTAGTAATGAAATCTCGAGCAAGGTAGACTGGCGTGACGTCATATACTATATTGAAAGCTTTTAAATGCCACAAACAATTTGACACAAATACATACAATGAGAATTAAAAATGTCATGGGTATATGACTAACTAATTGTCACCAGAAATTGCGTCCCAGTGCAGTTAAAAAAAGTAAATAGGGTGTTCTTTCAGACTATATTTTATATCTAGGCCAAATTTCATCAAGATCCGTTGAACCATTTAGGCTGTAAAATCTAACATTCATCCATCTAGACTTTTGCTTTTTAATATTAGTAAGACTAGGTTTTCTATTAAAAATTTGAAGTGGATAAAATCCATCTGTCTTGAAACTATCTCTTTTTTTCTATATAAAGGACATCAACGCATATTTCCAAAATGAACGAAGCTCGCGAGATCTACAATAAAAAAAGATCTGTGGTATGTAGACAAGATTGACTTTCACTTAATGACAATCACAAGTATGCATTACACGAATAAATTACAACTGTCTGCAAGACATGCCTCTTGAAATGACGACCTCGATTCTTTGTAAGCACACCTGGTTCTATTTGAATAACTCAACGATGGTTCACAGTTGTTGTTTGACATGAAAATATTTTTTGCGAAAATGCACAATCGTACTAATATTATAAACGCGAAAGTTTAGATGGATGGATGTTTGTTAGAGATTGTAGCCTAAACGGCTGAAGAGATCTCGATGAAATTTGGCATAGATGTAGACGATAGTCTGGAAGAACACACAGGCTACTCACATTTGTTTTTTTTCCGCGCGAAAAGTTAGTTACGTTGATATGCGCGGAAGCTAGTTTTTCATACAGTTTCCATAATTCTTATTTTTTAAAATTTAAATGTCTTATCGAGAACTAGCATTGATGTAATTTAGTTAATATCTATAAGTACTCATACATTTCATCTTTACGTGCGGTAATAGTGCGTCTCATGTCGCTACCGGAAGTACTAATTGTGCGGTATTGTGCTTAGATCAAGATTTAATGCCGCGTATGAATGCGACATTCAGAATAAGGTCTCGTCTAAAATATACAAGAAAGCGATTATAGACTTTTTCTAAAACAGTATGAAATATATATTTTTAATAAAATATTCTCTTCAGATTTTGTTAGGTACAGCACAGAAAGGTATATAACATTTTCTTTGTTAGTAAAATTTAAAAATTAAATTATACAGTTATCGTGTTGTTAAGTATTCTACCCGCTGCGCTAGTAACTATGGTCGTAACCTTAGCTTGGACCTCCGTGTAAAGACTAACCGGGACACGGTGGGCGTTCCTGATTTAAGAATTAAGGAATGCCACGATTGAATCATATCGCAATTGTTTAATCTGTATGTCTGGAAATATATCTTTTTATTTCTACCTCCTCCTTGAGATTTCTGATTTACTTTGATGCTCTGCCATTGCTCATACAAAAGGGTAGGGCCATTGCTCATACAATAGACTGGTAAATTTGTCTGTTAGGAGATCTTGTCCTTTCTCGTCTTTGCCTTTCTATGATCTAACAATCTCTTGCACTTTTCTAATTAGGTTCATGTTGTTGGGGAATTGAACTGTTAGAGTCTGTCCCACCAAACTGTTGTCTGAAAACCTGATGGAAATATCTGATTTTGTTCCTTTATCTGACAGTGACGTCATTTTTACGCTATCCGAGTCTTTATCAGCCCGTGGTGGGACTGGCCCTTATTGTCATAGATTAATAAGTTTAAGTATAACATCTATTTGTTCTTTGATTGAGTCATAAGCTGCTTATTTTAAAGGAAGTGTCAAAAGTTAATGCTGATATTAAGTTACCCTTAGCGAGTCCAAGACTTATGATAATTCATATGCAAATCAAACTATAAAACATAATGTAGCCATCCTATTAGGTATTAAGTGTGTCACGTTCGTGTCTGAATACTGGCTCAATAGCTTGACAAAAGACCGGATAAAATCCACCCGGAGATCACAACTGATATCCGGTTCATTCATACTTTATCCGTCAATAGTACTATTGACTGTTGACAAAGTATTTGACTATTACGTCAACCTTGACCCCAGTCGTTAGCAACGTTCTATGCTTTATTTCAATTTAAAATCAGTTATGAATATGAAAAGGTTTTGTAGAAGTAGAGGCCTAGAAAGAGATGGTTATATTGCGTGAAAGATGATATGATCAAGAAGGAAGTGTCGAGATGGCGGAAGATAGATTAACCTGGAAGAAGAAAACATGGTGCGCCAACTCTACCGGAGCATAACATTATGAATACGACTTTACGTGTAATAAAAAACGGGTTAAAATAATTCTACTAACTACAAATCGCGTATGACACATTATTTATTTTCTACTAACTTTAGCCCGTGACTCCATCCGCGTGGAATCAAAAAACAAAAGGAAGTAGCCTATGTGATATTCCAAACTATTCTTTACATCTATGCCTAATACAATCGAGATTCGTTCAGCAGTTTATGCTACTCTAGGCTGTTCTTACGAACATCCATCCATGTAAACTTTCGCATTTTTAATATAGGTAACTATTATTAAGATTGTCTAAAATACCACTCAATTTTGATATTATAAAAATACCAGTCTTTTTTAATATCTATGATTAGTAATAAATTTTATGTAAGTTCTAATAAAATTAGAAACAAAAATAAAAATTACGAAAACCATAACTCATTGTAACACCTAACCAATTACCATAATAACAAAGTTCAACAAACAAGGTCGTGTTGCGTGTGATCGTTGAACTTGCTATTTTTGGTACAATACTTTCATAGTTAATTATTTTATAATTTCGTTAATTACATGAAACTAGAAACGTGCGTGAATACGTAAAGCGAAACATTTTGTTTTATAGAAATCTAAAATAAAACGATAATGACGAATTTTTTTATTACTTTCTTTATGATTTATCTATACTATTACTATAAAGCGGAAAGATTTGTGTTTTTGTATGTATTCCTTCACCATTAGAAAGGTAATGTATCTGTGAGTAACATAAGCTGTATTTTGTATATTTTTATTTCATGCGGGTGAAGTCGCGAGCAACAGCTAGTCTTATTAGAAAGTAAAAATAATATTTATTACAACACATAAGTTGAAATCAATTATAGTTACACTCTAATTATTTTTAATTATTCCTTTAAAAATATATTCCATTTTACAAAACCACTTAACGCAAATCTATTAGACTTAAGTCTCAGAACTAAAAAAAAAATAAACACATAAATACCATTTTGATGCATCAGTCGTCCAGCTCGAAGATCGCTCCTATTATTTCTAAAGTATAAACAGTTTATTAACTTTCGTATTAAAAATGGGTTATCGTAAATAATATCGACAAAAGTTTGCGGTTCAATTGCACGGGCATAAACTCAAAGGGAACGCACCGCACGACCCCTGACGGGAAACTGAAGCCTTGCACTTCCCGCTACTGTATATAAACAAACGGGAACACAGTACATCCACAACCCTCACAGTAAACATAAATATTAATTAATTAAAATGCTTTTATATTTTTCGGGTCTTCATGAAAATAAGAGAAATCTTCGAGTATTCATGGAAATAAGAAATAAGTAAACAAATATATTTTGACAAATTATAAAAATCTCAACGAAAAGACCAGATGAGCTGCTGTTATTAAAAAAAATATGTTCTTATCTTGAAACATAAATAGATACCTTACAACAAGTTTGCGCGAAAAATCGATGAAGTTAATTTGTATCAAAAATGATATAACCATGTTTAATAATTTTATAATAGTTACATTCTTGTTACATTCTTTTTAAACTGGTAACAAAATTAAGTAAAGTTTAATGTGTATTTCTTTAGTATACATGAAACATTGCGCACGTGCGTCCAACTTGACTTGACTTTAATTTGATTCGGGGCTTAAATGCGCGAATTAAATGCGCGCCATATTTATGACTTTTGGAGGGAAATTGAGAGTGGACAACGAACGGGTTGTTCCTATAAAATTGCATCTACAATTTAAATTGTATTACATTGATTATAAAATCAAACATAATTAAAGAGGTAACATATCCTTAATTTTAATATAATATGATAAGTAAATAATGTTCTTTGTCATATACCATTATGCCATAGATAAATGAATCATGCCAATTTGTGTACTTACCGTATGTCGCCTATCATTTCGGCGACTTCCGCGCAGGTCTATAGTGTGGAAGCCGTCGTCGACAGCATCAAATGCTTTGTTGACGCAGCCCCCGCTCTCCGCCATCACAGAACACTGCACAGTATAACATGACATTTAAGATTTTTTTTATACAATTTATGGTGGCAAACGAGCAAGCGGCTAACTGAATCCGCCAAAAAGGCGAAGCGACCGCTGCTCATAGACATACGTAATTGCAGATGCGTTGCCTACCTTAATCGACGTAAGAGAAGACGCACATAAACAGGATGTTTCTCCTTCTTATGCGTATCCTCCACCGTCAAATCCACTTTTCCTTTCCATCCTTTCCTGTCGAGAAAAGAGTGGAAAGGAAAATGGACTAGAATTAGGCCAAATAAACTAATTATAAATTACTAAATTTCGTAATCAAAGAATTTTCAGTTCTAACAATTTTTTAACGAACATTTCCTCTTTAATAAGTGTCTTAGCTTGATTGACACTGGCCGTGTATACCAGCTTTCTAGCTTTATAAAATCGTATGTAGCTTGTTATAGATTTCTCTGTTTATCTTGTGTGCCACACAATGGCACATTGTGTGCATTGGGAAATGGACCGCGTGCAAGATGCACCTATATCAACTTTTTAATGTCGTTAACATAAGGTTGCGAACACATTTGAAGGTTTCGACTTTAATGCGTAATTCGCGAATGAATGTGGACACAGCTTAAGCACAGATTATTTTCAGAATTTTTTAATTTTTGATTTCACTATGGTTTGTTAGTATTGAATTTTGGCGTTTAAATTATCTCTTGGATTAAAAAAATGGTTTGACTTAAGTTTACTGATATTAAAAATGTTTATCTTATGAATATGACATTAGTGTATGCATAGAGCACGTATGAGATGCATTTATTCATGGGCCAGCAAGACTTATAACGCCTTTGTCCATACATGGTCATTAAAATGACTAAGGTCAGTTTTATGCAAAAAATTCAAGTAAAATTTGTTAAGCGATTTAAAATCACGACGACCGAGTTAAATATTACAAAGATACCAGACTTTTTTAAATAAAATCCAATGAAACTGTAAAATACAGTTTAAACGATGTTCCACTAATCAATTAAGTCCGTAAACTAAACGCATCATGATATTCAAATTGAATTTTGTAACGGAATAAGTTTATTGTACAACAGAAATAAATACAAGTTAATAAATTAAATAAATACAGATATCCTGCGACAAAAAAAAAAATATTGAATCATTCCCAAATTGTTATCTTACTTTTTTTTTGTGACTGATTTGTCACTGTTTGCCTTGAAGAGGCATTTACAGATTCACCGGGCTTGAGGTGGCCCAGCGAAGATGGCGCTTAGCCTAAACCTCTTTTACTAAATACGAAAGTTTAGCGAGGAGCGTTCCATCCTATTTCTGTCTACGTCTTTAAGTTACTAGCGTTAATGTTTATTTGTTTATCAGAGAGTTAACCAACAACAATATTTTCTTGAATGTATTATAATAATTAATATTAGATTCATAAATAATTTATGAAAACAATACCCGAAAGTTTTCTATAATAATAATTGTACAAACTTTTTGCTACAAACAATTGAATATTTTGCATATATTGAGGTAAATATACGAAAATAAATTTATTTTATTTATTTATTTATTAAGATAAACAAACAAAGGTAGAGGAAGACCGAAGAAAGTATGGATGGATTGTGTGAAAAAGGATATGCTTAGAAAGGAGTGGATTCAGATATGACGGCTGATAGAGATGTATGGAGCACATACTGTGCCGACCCTCCCAAAGGGATAAGGGCAAGTTGATGATGGCAAATTGATTAGGATAAACCAACAGTACAAAATTATGACACATACATTTTTACATAAAAAGAATATGCTGAATTGAGATAGTAACTAAACATTCCGCATGTAGAGACTGCCTACTACAATGCTAAATGCTGTTAAATTAATTGCTAAGGGGTATCCTTATTGTCGATGTGAAAACACTGAGTTACTATTTAAGTAAGACATAATAAAGGACTTCTTGATATTTAACTTGAGATATTCAACGTAGGAAGTCTAAAGTCTGTTATTCAGAATAATGTTTATATCGATTAATATCTAATATCTCTTTCTGACATAGAGTTGTCTTTGTAATACATGCTGAAGTCTAAGGCATGTTTTTGCAAAGTCATCCACTTTTCTTAAAGACTGGCAACACTCTGGGTATACTCTGTTGTTAAAATTACCATAACGTCGAATCAAATCGTTTCGATGAAATAAAGTTGCACAATCTCAAATAATTTTAAGTTATCCGTCGAAAGATTCAAGTATAAAAGATTGGTAATAAATTTATGTAACCGACGCGTTCGCCTTCGAAACGCGGACAATACAAAATTTATAACTTTTTTTACGTTCGCAGGTAACTTTACAACCTTTAGTACCTACTCGTATCTCCTTTCCGTAATTCTTGAGACGGGTTTTATTATAAAAAAAATGTAATGTAACTTTGAAAATTTTTTAATTCAGTCCTATAGTAAATTCTAGTTTCGTGCAATGAGATAAATTAACTACGTGATTATCAGAACTATCAATGTTACGAATATTATAGTCACGCACGTTATGATAATCATATAGTATAGAAACGACAAAACGCGATAAAGCATGTAAACAATCTTATAACCTTAAATATACAAACTGTCACTCGTAACTCCTTCCGCGCAGAATAAAAAAAAAACTTTCCTAGTAGCCTATATATTATTCCAGGCTTCTACATCTATGCCACAGAGAGATGGTTTGAAGCCGTTTCAAAGAAGCATATCAAGGAACATCCATCCATCCATCCAAACTTTCGCAATTATGTTAGTAAAAAGAAAGATATAAGTAGTAAATTCAAGATTGAAAGTTTGGATAATCTACTAATTTTACCAAAACGTAACTTGTTAATTTTTCTGAAAGATGTAAGATATTTTGCGAGTCATTTATTAAATTAGAAAATCATAATTTAAAAATTAAGTAACAGTTTTATGAGAAACTTTTAATTACATTATGTAATTAGTTACTCCCAAACCATGTTGTTGACAACGTTGCTATGCGTAGCAACCGCTATTTTAAACAGTTTTAAACTTGTACTACATTGAAACTTGTACTGTACTTTTGAAGCAGTTTGACATAACGTTATTCCTTGAATACATAATTCAAATTTTAAGCCGTTGATAGCCAAATACACAGTTTAATGTATTTAATTGTACAAGTTTAACATTTGTCATTGTTACCGATGTAAACAACAACAAAAAAAATTGGCAGATGTTTTTTTAATTAAAGCAACTTTCTGCCAGTGTTGTTCTCTTCAGAAATCATAAACATTATTTACCTTTATAACTGTCACTTCATTTCAATATCAATCCAAAATAAAGGAACTAAATTACCACAAAACAACACAAAAAGTAAACAACAAAAAAACACTGGTTACGAAACTGTGTCGCGGCTTTGACGTAACAAGGAATTGAAAAAGTAAAAGTGAACGCGAGACGTGTTCGTTCGATTTTTGAATTTGAATTTTGAGCGCGAACGTGCACCGCGTCACCTGTCGCACGGCGGACTGGCGCGCGCGCAAATAGAGACGCCATACGCAAATAATAGAAACATTCGTATCGATAACTTTGTCTTTGTCACAACACTAACTTTCTATTGTAAAACACAAACATCATAATCTTTTACACTATATTAGATAAGAACAATACAAGTTATAGTTATATCAAATAATATACCTAGTTTTAATACTTATTTTGAGTTAAATATTTCTGGAACAATAAGAATAGAATAAAGATTGATTAGACTAAGTCGATAACGTTTTTCCGCCCTAGCTTTCTATCATTGTTAAACAGAGACATGTAGATATGAAAAACAATCAAAATTTTATAAGAAATAGTATGAATGATCTCATAAAAAATAACAATTTTCTTAGATAATATAACTACAGCAAGGAAGCCGCAGTGTCTTTCTGCAATAGGCCTAATACGTGTATAGCGCATAGTTCTATCGATGATTTCTTACATCTTTCAACCATACTGCGGGTAAAATGCTTTTAAGCTACGAAACTAAATTATCTCCTCATCTTAATT